TTTAATATTGATATATTAAATTAATCTTTAAAAAATTAATTTTAAATATATATATATTTTTAAAATAACATGTATTCCTGGACATTTTCTTATTTTCTTGCCTCGTGCGTGCAGATGGTTATGTCCTATCATATGCTCTCGAAGAGGTACCTTCGCGCAATCTTTATTAGATTACTAAAATCCAATACCGTGACATTTTGAGATGATCATATCACGTCGTTGCAAATATTTTCTTGTGACTTTTGTGGCAATAACCCCATGCATGTGTAGAATTTAGGACAATAAAAAGGAATGGAGGCGATCTCTCTCTCTCTCTCGGCGACCAATCCTGAGATTTCTGCGCAGGAAGCGGACTTGGTTGACTCTAAGTCCATATTCAGGAACTCATGGGGGAGAAGGAGCCTAAACGGAAAGCCTACTTCAAGGAGGCTCTGACCAATGATTCTCCTAAAGATGCTATTATGGCTGATGGGTTGACTCCACTAGTTGATTGGATTTATTCTATGAGAAATCTGAACAGGACAGTGATCGAGAGGTTGATTGCCCTACAATTCACCTTTCGGCTGTTGATAAGAAACGAATCTGCAAACCATGACAAAACGCTTTTATATGTAAGATATTTGGTAAACGTGTTGGTTATAAGTTCCGAGTTAGCAGATTGGAACAAGCATGGAAGTTGAAACAACCAGTAAGCTTGGCTGATACCGGGAATAATTACTAAGTTGCTAGATTAATTCACGTCCGATGAGGATTACCTACGTATTCTGTTTGGTGGCCCTTGGAGGGTTTCAGATCACTACTTTACAGTCTGTCAATGACAGCCTCGTTCTTATTCCGAATTATTGCATATTGAATATTATGATAACTGGCTTTTCTCCAGAAAATTGGTAATAAGTTGGGGAGAACAGTTAAAAAGTGGATGAAGCCACGCTGAAAGGTTCTAGGGCTAATCTTGCTGTTTGCATCGAAGTTGATCCAGGCAAGCCATTGATCTCTAAGTTGAGGCTGGGACGCAGGATATGGCGAGTGGAAAATGAAGGAATTCGCTCGGTTTGTTTCTTATGTGGTCTTTATGGATATTAAGTGGATGTTTCTGTTAAAAAGTGGAAACATGTATATTTCCTGCTTGCCCTTATTTCTTCTAATTTTTGGTCGGATATCCCAGTTTTACTGTAGATAAAGCACTTGCTTTTTGGCAATTTCTTTACTTTTCAGAGTGAGCTTCTTTTAATTTTTGTTAACACTTCTTCCAGAATATTTGCTTTTAAGATACCAGAAAAGTTGGTTCACTGTCAAAAAATTAATAAATATAAACAAAAATATCGATAGTATTTTTTTTATTGGTAGATCATGATGAACTTTATCAATACAATAGTCTATTATTATATTACACTGATAAAAATATTTTCTTGATATATACTAATAAGATTATAATAGAAAATTAAGGAATTAAGAAAATAAACAAAAAATATGATAACCTATCGTTCATACAAATGGAATTACAAACAAAATTAGTCCATTATTGAATTCCATTTGTACCCGACTCTCTTTTTCCCTCGTTTTTTTCTTCTTTTTTCTTCCAGCTTTCTAACAAACAACATAACCCCCCTCTTTTATCATAAATGAACTTTCTACCATAAATCATGTCACCCCAATACTTACTTTGTCAGTATTCTTGTCACCCCAATACTTACTTTGTCAGTATTCCTGTTCTGATTCAGGTTTTATTAAAAATTCTCCACATCAAGTAAGCAAAACTATTTATTTTTTGTTTAAACTCAATTTTAAAATGTTAATTTTTATTGCATATTTTTATTGTATATATATTTTATTTGGGTATTTACTTGTTTTAAAAAAAAATTCAAAAAAAATTTTATTTGGGTATTTACTTGTTTTAAAATTTTTTTTCAAAAAACATTTGTTGATTTAATGTATGATTTGTATATGTTAGTGTTTATTTGAAGTTTTGAAAAATTGTGTTTCTTTGTAAATTGATGAAATTTATTTTGAATTTGTAACTTAAGTGTTTTGTAATGAAATAAATAATTGCTTATTTAAATTGTTTGTTTTATATTTTATCAATTTTATTGTTGAGTTGAGAATGTCAATAAATGTATAAGAATTTGAATTTATATAGATAATTGATAATAAATTAAAAGTAATGTTAAAATAAATTGAATAAGTTTGAGTTAAATCAATATTAGCTAGCTTATTTAGTTTATATATTTAATTAATAAATGATGTTATCAATATTCTATATAGATTTGATATAAGTAATGGATGATCGTTTATGATTGTATCAAGATTCACTCGAAGGGTTACGCATGATAGATTATTGTAATGGGGTTGATGGTTTTATTAATTACACATCATCTTATCCTAGAAATATTAGTGGTGACAGTATTAGATATCCATGTGAGAGGTGTAAGAATAAAAAATTCCTCGATTTGGATGTTGTAATAATGCATTTTTTACATAATGGGTTCATGGAGAAATACATGTGTTGGTTTGCATACGAAGAATCATATGTTTTTTATAAGATTATGGTAGAAATGATGGTTGAGTTAACTTTTAGATCTAATAACGTGCATGAAGTTGTAGAAAACAATAATAATTTTTATAGAACTATGGTTACGAATGCGATGAGAATGAATCAAAGTTGTATAAGTGAATGTCTAATTGTAAATGAAGAACAAAATAAAGACATAACTAAGTTTTTTCTATTCTTTTGAAAAACTCTGATAAATCATTATGGGATGAGTGCATAAATTACAATAAATTATTGATTGTTGCACAAGTGTTCATCATTAAGTCATATAATAGCATGGGTGAGGCTAGCTACGATAAAATTATCAAATGGGCAAAAAACATTTTACTTAAAGAGAATAGGCTAAAAGAGAACTTTTATGTTGTTAAATCTATGATGAAACCCCTCATACTAAAATATTAAAAAATTAATATGTGTCCAAACTTTTACATGTTGTACTACCTTAAAAATATAGAGTTAACAAGTGTAGAACATGTAAACATGCTCGTTATAAACCTAGAATTGATAGGAAAAAGACTCTTGTTGCACATAGAAAACTTAGATACTTCTCAATCACACCTAAATTATAAAGATTATTCATGTCTCTAAAAACTATTAAGTACATAACATGGAATCATATACATGATGTGGTAGATAAAGTGATGGTGTCATCAAGTCATATTATAGGCTGGGTGAGGCTGACTATGATAAAATTATTAAATGGGCAAAAAACATTTTATTTGAAAGGAATAAGCTAGAAGAGAACTTTTATGCTGCTAAATCTATGATGAAACCCCCCAAATTAGGATACCAAAAAAGTGACAGGTGTCCAAACTTCTACATGTTGTACTACCTTAAAAATATAGAGTTAATCAAGTGCATAATATGTAAACATGCTCGTTATAAACTTAGAACTGATAAGAAAAAGACTCGTGTTGCATATAGAAAATTTAGATACTTTTCAGTCACACCTAGATTACAAAGATTATTCATGTTTTTAAAAACTACTGAGTACACGACATGGAATCATACATATGATATGATGAATGAAATGATGGTGCACCCTTCTAGTGGTGAAGCTTGACAATATTTTAATAGGGTTCATCCTTAGTTTTTAGTGAAATCAAGGAACGCGTATATTGAGTTATGTAGATACAGAAACCTATGATTGATGCATAGTTTAAAAAGTTTAAGATTAGTATTAACTTAAATATTTTTTTATTATGATAATTCGGTTAGTTTATTAATATTAATGGAATTATTCTCTTACAAATTTGAACTTCAATGAAAATTTTTACAAGGATAGAGTTGACAACATTGTTGTCAAAAGGGGTGGGAGAATGATAAAATTGAAATCAAGATAATTTTTTTAATCTAAATTTTAAAATTTTATTTTTTAATTATTAATATATAATTTATTTGTACCATATAAGTTGTATGATTTTTGGAATAAAACATAATAAAAAAAAATATATGAAATAACGAGAGCTTCCAAATTGGAAGGAAGTGATGGTTTCAAAAGATTTTAGACCCTTGTATATATTGAAAGTTGTTAGCGTAGAATACATTTAGCATGTAACATTCAAACACTTCATGTGATGATCACAATTCGAGTGGAGAACCAGAACTGATAGAGTTATGATTCTATTATCACACATACCGACAAATTTATTTTGTTTGCTTTACAAGCGAGACGGATAATAAATTACTTTTTTTAATATATTTATTTTTTTAATTTGTTTTTTTATATGAATATGCTTAACTAATAATAATTTTTTTTTACATGAACCATATTTGATTAACTTTTTTTTTTGTAACAATACACATGCAAAATGATAACCTTAAAAAAAAAAAAAAAGACACAACATTAATATAGAAGCGTATTTCCATCTCATAATTACGTACTGCACCAGATCGTGTTCACCTTACAAAATTCTTGCAATTTTGCATATGAGCAGTTTCTCGAGAATATTTCATCTGCATCGTCGACAAGAGTGACCGACATTTTTACCACGTTCGAGGCACTAGTTGAGGTCCAATTTGCATCAAGCGGCAGGGACGAATAAAAGGTACAGATCTCCCCATGTATTCCAGGCATGTTAAAGTCAACAATGCTATAATTTTGGAGAAATCCAAGAACCTTAGTTGGGTATGGTTCATGGCAATGAAGGCTTGAGGTTGATACCACTACAAGTATGTAAGGTTGCCATATCTGTAGTCCACCCTCCACTACAAGTCATGCTCAACACTGCGCCTCCCACAGCCTTAACATTTCATCAACAAGTCATGCTCAACACTGCGCCTCCCACAGCCTTAACATTTCATCAACATTCAACTCCACTACTTCCGAACGTTGACATTCTAACATTTTCTAGGGCCAGGTAACCTTCCACCTTTCAAGATAGAAAACGAATTTGATCTTAACAACGTAAGTCAGAACACGATACAATGAACTTCCCGGTACATTTCTGTAGATTACATCAATAAATATGTGGGATTGGAGATGATAGTTCTTCGAATGCGCACTTCTTTGAGAATCTCGCATTTCAACACCTAGAATAACTAGACTATAGGTCGATGATTACAAGTGGATTTCGCAATTTAAGCAAGGATGGAATTAATCAAGGAACCAGATCAAGTCAACCGAATACTTCTATAGCCATGTGCCTGCAACATCAAGACAAGTGTGGCCATACATCATGCAGAGAAATATCAACCTGAGATAAGTGCAGAACAATATTTAATTTGCTTGTTTGACTTATGATCAATATAATATTAGAAATCGATCTTCCAGGGAAGGGTTCATATGGGAGAAATCAAGCACAGCCAAGAATGCCTGAGCTGGGGTGACATAGATTGAAGTGCCTTTTAGCCTATCCGCCAGAACAGTTGACCCCAATACAGCTTGATATGATGTCTGCAACTAACCATATTAAGGAAAAATTCAATAAATTATTGTGAATTATTTCTTACATTTAAAATAAAAATAATCTCAAACGTTAGGCTATTTGATCCAGCTGGTGTACAAAAAATAAAAATAATCTCAAACGTTAGGCTATATTTTATTTGATCCAGCTGGTGTACAATTTTTTTCTTGCAGAAGTAGAAAGAAAGAAAGGTTAATTTCAAGACTCCTGAAGCAGAGATGGGTGTTGATGTTTTGTCTTGGAGACTTATCCTCTGTTCTCTTCTTGTTTTACTGGTAATCTTTGTCTCCCCTTCTTCACTTACCTCCATGATTTTCTTTCATTTTTAATTTGTTGTTGTCAAGATGAGTGCTTCTAAATTCGGTTCTTCTGGTTTAATAATTTATATATTTGTTTTGATTACAGTTTGCTAAAGACTGTAGTGCAAGAAAGATGACTCACACAAGATGGAGAGAAGTGCCGGGTGATGATTCGAACGGTCTGCAACACAATCGAGAACCTGATTTGCAACAGCTTTCAAAGGATGATCATCTTCTCACCAGGCACAGTAGGGATGGTGATCATCGAAACCATGAACATGCCCATCTATCATCACATATGAATCACATGGACCCTTCAGACAAGATTTTCTTCACCCTAAAAGATCTGCAAGTTGGAAAAACGCTTCCAATTTACTTCTACTATAGGGACCCTTCAACTTCTCCTCGTCTGATATCTAGAGAAGAAGCCAATTCAATTCCTTTCTCTTTAGCAAAATTACCTTATCTTCTTGATTTTTTCTCTTTGTCCAAAGAATCTCCTCAAGCTAAAGCCATGGAATATACACTAACACAATGTGAACTTGAACTCATGGAAGGGGAGACCAAGTTCTGTGCTACTTCATTGGAATCCATGCTTGATTTTGCACAGGCCACTTTTGGATCGGAAACCCAAGTAAAAGCCTTAACTACCAATCAACTTAGAAAGCCTGTTGCACCTATACAAAACTACACCATTATGGAGGAGCCTAGAGAGATCTTGGTACCTAAAGTGATAGGATGTCATACCATGCCTTACCCTTACGTAGTTTATTATTGCCATAGCCAAGAAGGTGGGAACAGGTTATTTGAGATTTCACTTGTGGGTGAGAATGGAGATAGAGTCCAAGCTATTGGTGTTTGCCACATGGACACCTCTCAATGGGACCCTGAAAACCCATCATTTCGTGTGCTGAAAATAAAGCCTGGAACTGCCCCTGTATGCCATATTTTCCCAGCAGATAACATAGTCTGGGTGCCTTTGCTTTCATAAATGCAGTAGTAATATTTGTGGTTGTGATTGTAAAACATGTCCTGAGACGTGATGCCATGTGTTTGTCTGTAAAATTGTGCTTGTCGATATAGTCATGGACTGATGTATACCAATGTTCCCTCTTACAAGACTAATAAAGAATATTGGTGAATCTGTACTTCGTTTCTTGGAAATGTCTTGGAATGCTGGTGTTCTACGATGACAGACAAAAGTATTCTCTCTAGGAGAACCCGGCTTCGAAAACTATCTGGGGCATAGCTGGATTTCTTGTAAATCCAGCCAGAACTTGCCTGATTTCTGTGCCATGACCGGATCTAAACATGGCTTAAAATAACGTACAAATTCAATCCAGCTATTTACAACAGGATGCATAAAACCCTGGTCCAGTAATGTTTACCTCATAATTGATTGAGGTGGCTTGTTTCCTAACCTCAAACGTCCTGAGACACTAAAATACAAACTGAGCAACAACTCAACTTATTTCATCGACTTCACAGCATACCATCAAGGATCCACATTTGTTTTTATAATATAGCACTCGAAGCAAGGAGGTAGCACTGCTAACTTCATTATTTAGAGCCTAAGACAAGAACATCAGTCCCCTTGTTGATATCCTTGGTGAATTTGCAACCTTCTGCTGGTTTGTTTCAGAGTCAGTAACAGAGGACTTCTCACTTTTGGGCTCGGTAGTTGTGCCGTGATAGATACGGTGGCTGGACTAATCATCACACTTGAACTCAGTAACAGTAGTTTTTCCATGATAAATTCGTGGTTGGACCAATCATCATTGCTGGGCTGAGTAGTTGTTCCATCACAAATACGTTGCTTCGACCAACCATCCAAATCCATTTTCTCCTTTCCAGTCTGGAGTTTCATGATAAACACGACGATTGGAATTAATCATCCAAATCGAGAGGTCTATCTTTTCTAGGCTCTACAAAATGTTGGGGAATCTGATCAAAATGTTAGGGAATCTAATCGGAAAATGTTGGGGAATCTGATCAAAATGTTGGGGAATCTAATCAGTGATGTACTGATATTTGGTCATAGGAGGTCAAGTACACTGACATAATATTTAACATGGTTCGACAAATCACCTACATCTACGGGTGAAGCCATTTCTTATATAGAAAGAGTACAAGATTTACAACAATAAAGGAGAAGGAATCATTCACTCTTTAGCAACTCTCAACCTCGCTCTATTTCTCTCTTCTCAGTGCTGCAATGTCATTCACTGTTGGTTGCCCTTGGCAGCCCACTCTCTCCTATGTTTCTCATATCTTTGGCTACACTATCTCTTTCATTTTACTCTCAAACAATGCCTCTATTTATAGGAATCAATGGTAAAACAAGATCCACAAATCATGACATGATTTGTGGCACTAATGATGGTAGCACATGAGTTATACTATTTTGTCAATGGTTAGTGCAACTTGGCTATACCGCTATCATTGTAGGCTTTTAACAATAACAACCCTACTTCTTAGGGTAGGTTGTAAAGGTGTAGCTTATTAATGGCAATATCCCAACACAAAAGTTCCATGAGAATTGTGAGGAAAATAATGTCAATAGTCAGGAAACATTCATGACAAGTTGGTCATTTTTTTAGCCTCTCGTACTTGGTTATTATTTATTCTATTTTCCTTAATATGCTCGTGTTTTGATTGGTTAATGGGCATGTAATTATCAATAACATGTTTGTTTGTATATAAAAAAAAGTTAAAGATTTATATTCTATGTGACGAAAGAAAATGAATGATAAGAGTACAATAATTTCATGTTCCCCAAAAGAATTGATAAAAGGTTAGGAAAAAAAAGTTTCATGCATAGAACTACACTGTCCTAGAAGGGCCTGAAAGAAGTGCTAGCTAGTATGTCATATTTTGCCTTACTCTGTTGGGTTATTCTAGAAATCAAATACATATAAATTTATATGGTTCGACAATTTACTTGCTTCATGAAACTATTGATTTGTATTAATCAATAAAAGAAATGATACAAACAAGGAGAAGGAGAAAAACTCTTCTCTACTCAACTCACTCTCACTCAAGCTCTCTCTATCTTCTTCACTCTCTGTTTTCTACCACACTCAGCTCTTCACTGAGTATATATATACATACTAAGCTAGGAGTAAAGGCCATAAATCATGTCATGATTTATGTATTAAATTAAGCCTCTATGATATGCTAAGTGGGAGATTAGTTATTCCCACTTGCATTTGGTGGAGGTGGGGCATTGTTTATCTCCACTTTACTAACAATCTCCAACTTGGGGACAAATAATCAAATTATCTTTTATCTTTGAAGACCAACCAAATTTTTGCATAACTTCAGTTTATTAAGTGTAACTCTTTTAGTTAATATGTCAGCCGAATTCTTGCTTCCACAAAATTTTTCTAGTATTAGTTACTATTGTCTAGCAATTATAGGATGAATTGATATTTATTAACTTCAGTTTATCAAGTGTAACTCTTTTAGTTAACATGTCAGCCGAATTCTTGCTTCCACAAACTTTTTCTAGTATTAGTTACTATTGTCTAGCAATTATAGGATGAATTGATATTTATTTTGAATATGCTTAGTCTTGGAGTGAAATGCTAGATTCTTAACAAGGAAGATTGCATTCTAACTGTCACTATACAAAGTACCATTTCCATTCATCTTGCCTAATTCTTTTAGGAAACTTTTTAGTCATACTATCTCTTTTTTAGATTCTAAGACTGCAATATATTCAGCTTTTGTTGTTGAAAGAGCAATAATTTTTTGTAAAGTAGAATTCCAAGAAACAGCAATGCCTCCTAAAGTATATACATATCTTATAGTACTCGTTATGCTATCAACATCTTCTGCTAGATCAGTGTTTACAAAACCTTTAAGTTTTGAACCACCAGCTGTAAAGGTAAGACAAGTCTCCAAGGAACTTTTTAAGTATCTCATGATCCATTTTACCGCCTCTCAAAGCTGCTTTCCAAGATTGCTCATATATCAGTTTAAAACTTCAACTGCATAGGCAATGTCTGATCTGGTACAGACCATAACATACATCAAAAAGTCGATAGCTGAGGTGTATGGAATCTTATCCATATATCCATATTCTAGCTTAGTTTTTGGCAATTGGTCTTTGCTGAGCTTGAAATGATTCCCTAGAGGTATACTTATTGGTTTAACATTATTCATATTAAACCTGCTGAGAACCTTATTGACATATTCTATTTGTGAAAGTTTTAGTATGCATTTGTCTTTATCTTTGATGATTCTCATGCCAAGTATTTGCTCAGCAGCTCCCACATTTTTCAATTCAAACTATTTTGACAACTACTGTTTTAACTTGTTAATATCTTTAATGTTGGATCTAGCAATCAACATATCATCTACATATAATAATAAAATAATGTAGGAGTTATTAAAATGTTTGACATAGTAATAATGATCAGCTTGACATTTTGTGTACCCTGAACTGCATATAAAGTTGTCAAACTTCTTGTATCACTGTCTTAGAGCTTGCTTCAAACTGTATATACTTGTCTTTAGCTTGTAGACTTGGTCCTTCTTTTCTTGTATTGCAAATGCTTCTAGTTGTTGCATATAAATGTCTTCTTCTAAGTCATCATGAAGAAATGTTGTTTTTACATCTAGTTGTTTAAGATGTAAATTTTCTACAGCTACTATCCCTAAAACAACTCTAATTATTGTGAGCTTCGTAACTGGAGAAAATATCTCAGAATAGTCAGTCTTTCTTTTGTTGAAACTCTTTTACAATAAGTCTTGCCTTGAACTGTTTGCTTCCATCATGCTCAGTCTTTACTCTGTAAACCTACTTATTTTGTAAAGCTTTCTTTCCTTCAAGTAGTGTGCTTAACTCACAAGTCTTGTTCTTTAACAAATAATCCATCTTATCCTTTATTGCTAACTTTTATTTACTTGAGTTTTCATCTTATAATGATTTTTTTATAAGTTTATGGTTTATTACCATTTGTTAGCAAAATATAATTCAGTAGAAGTGTGAATCGTTGTGGGGGCTTTACAGTCCTTAAAGATTTGTGAACATAAATAATAGATTTACTTGGCTTCGTATCTTCTTGTTTAGTAGTGGGTATAAATGTACTTGAATCTTCTTATAAAAGTTTTAATATTTGTTCTGCTCAATAAGATCAGAAAGCCCTTCTGATCTTATGAATTCAGATTTTTATAGATTTGTATCTGAATCAACCATATTTGTTTCTATACTTGATCTGTCTTTGTATAAAAATTTCTCATTAAAGATCACGTTCTTGCTGCTGATAATCTTTCTATTCTGATCATTCCAGAATCAAAATCCAAATTCTACATCTCTATAGCCAATGAAAAAACATTTCTTGGATTTGGTATTTAGCTTGTTGCGAGCATCAGAATCTATATGAACAGAGAAAACATACCCAAAGACCTTTAGATTAGAGAGTTATACTTCTTTTCCTCTCCATACTTCCTTGGGCAATTTGAATTTCAAAGGAACTAATGGTCCATGGTTGATCAAGTAAAATGTAGTATGAATTGCGTCAATCCAAAATGTTTGAGGTAACCTTTAATGTAATCTCATGCTTCTAGCTCTTTCATTGATGGTCTTGTTTATCTATTCAGCAATGTCATTCTGTTGTGGTGTGCCTGGAACGGTCCTTTCCATTCTGATACCATTCACAATGCAATAATCTTTAAAACCTTCATTAATATATTCTCTTCTATTATTAGATTTCAAACATTTTAGCTTGAAACTTAATTTAGTCTCAACCATAACTTTCCATTTCTTGAATGTTTCAAACACATCAGATTTATTTTTTAGAAAGTAAACCCATACCTTCCTGCTGAAATCGTCAATGAAAGTCACATAATACCGAGAACCTCTAAGAAATACCATTGGAGAAGGTCCCTATAAATCTATGTGTACCATTTTTAGCTTTTTTGGTCTTAAGATCTTACTAAACTTTAAGAAACTAAGCTTCTTCTGTTTTCCAAGAATACAACTTTCACAGATATCTAGATCAGTATTTTTTAACTCTGGCAGCTTTCCCTTTGACTGAAGTATCGTCATTCCTTTTTGACTTATATGGCTAAGTCTACACTGCCATAACTATACTTATATGGCTAAGTCTACACTGCCATAGCTATGCTTGATTTTCTACTT